ACGTGTGAAGTTTACGGACTAAGGCTGTTTGAAAGGTTTTCTTCTATAAAATTAACCGATTCTAGACTAATTCGACTCAACATTTCCAAAACACGTATAATTTTTTGGGAATAATCCGTATAAACTATGCTATAAACAAAAAATTGTAGGATTACTTACCGAGTGTGCACCGTTCGACTACGCTGTTGCTTACGCTTGTTTTCATCGCGGAGCAGCACACCAAACGGCGGCCGCGTTTTCTGATAAATTATTTTTCTGCGAAAAATTTGTTGACCTTTGGAGACATCATTAATAGAAATAATTTTTATGACCGTTGAATAAGAAATGTTTCTTTCACAAGAAATGTATAAAATTAGTGCTGTATTAGACTTACGGTACTTAATATACATACTGTACAGACGATAGTAAACTCAACTTACTCACCTAAACTCTCTATAGCGTGGCGCTGGACGGCGGGAAGTATATATATAATTATAATAAAGTTACAATAAATTAAGTTAATATATAATTATATATACAGTACCTAATTTATATATAATTAATATATAATTATATGTACAGTACCTAATTTATATATAATACTGTACAGACGATAGCAAAGTCAATTTACCCGCCTAAACTTTCCGTAGCGTGGCGGAAAGTAGTTCGGCTGCTCATCCACTTTTGGTCCAGATTTGACCAATCTTGTCGCGACACGAGTTGGCGACGACATTTTACGAGTCCCTTTATATGAATACTGCCGCAATTTTTTTGCTACGTTATAGGAACCCACGTTATAGGGGGTCGACTGTATTTTAAACATATGCAAACATTTCTTTATATATAATTAATTATATTTCTCCTATGTATAACTATTCATAATAAGAATGTGATTAATAATCATATACATTCTTTTTATGTTTATGTTGTATAATCTCTTAAGGAAACAACTTAGCAACCATTTAAACATATTCTGAAAATATTTAATGGTTGAATAGTATATGTATAATTAATTTTTATCCAAACATTTTCAACTCTTTTATGGTTCTAAGATGAAAATTCAAAATATTGAGTTCAATATTTTGGGTTTATCAAAAAACGTTTTCTTAAACATTTTTCAGTCTATTTCAACTTATCTCAAAGATAAAAAATTCATTAATTGATATTCTCAGAACAAAATATTATATTCTTTGTATGTAATCCAATGATGATTAAATTTCTGTATGAATTTTAATTTTAAAAAATATGAATATATTATGAATGATGAATGATAACTGAGGCAGAAAAAATTTATGGATCAGTGAAAACAAGGAAATGAAAAACAGAAAAAAGATTAGTACAGAATTTAGAAATATAAAGAAAAAAATACAACTTTATAAGAGATCTATATAGTAGCTAACCAAATTAAACAGTGAAAGGATTAAAATCTGAATAAAATACAAACAAAACCTTTTTAACCAGTAACAGAACTTTAACACAACTTCCGAATGTTTTCAGCCTTTGCCAAGGCCTGCGCAACTCAGGATTTTAACTAAACTGACTTCCAAACTGGAATGTTAGAACAAAGATGTTCGAAAACTCGATTTTAAATTTTCGAATATGTCAAATTCATACAGCTGTTTGCTCGAATCTTTCATACAGATACTTCCACAGATGCGCCACTGTATTGCAGTCCTTAAAGATGCATAAAAGAGTATGTGAACATCAATAATCAATATGACCTTGCGAACAACAGGCATACCACTGCCTTGTACACATATGCCACCAACTTGGAAGTATTGATACATACAGACCTCCAGAACACAGATTAATTAGGCAGGCCTTTCAAACAGACCATGTTCATAGCCTGGAGGCTTTGGAAATATATAAAGCCAACCTGAACAGCAACTGTATTAACTGTAAGGACTGTGATAAGGTGGTCACTAATCCATGCTAAATTAGAGGAAGCAAATTGCCCAAACAATTTGTATCGTCTTATACGTGATTATCTAACAAACAGAAAGGCATACATAGAATACGCAGACGTAAAAATGGAAAGGGACATGACTATGGGGTGTCCACAGGGATCCTGTTCTGGACCCATTTTTTGGTCAATTATATTAAATGATCTCTTGAAAATCAACACATTATCAGAATCAAAAATAACAGCTTTTGCTGACGATATAATGGTCATCTGTTCGGCAAAAAGCAGAAAACAAATAGAAATAAAATGCAAAAATATACTGGATAAAATAGAGAAATGGGGAAATGCAAACAAACTTAAATTTAATCCAGAGAAGACAAACGCCATAGCCTTTACAACATGCAAAGTGGCAAAAAGGCAACCCACAATTAAAATGCAAAATAAATCGATTAAATGTGTAAACCAAGTCAACTATTTAGGAGTAACAATAGACAACAAACTTTTCTGGAATGAACACCTAGAAACAATTAAGAAAAAAGTGGGTAACTTATTTCAAGAAATAGCGAAAGTAGCACGTAAAGAATGGAGTATAGGTGGAAGGGCTTTAACACATATTTATAAAGGTGCTGTAATCCCAATTGTTACATATGCTGCCCAAATTTGGGGGAAGAGGATGGAGTTGACACACATGAAACAGAAAATAAATAGCCTACAAAGAAAAATGCTATTAAGAATTACTGGAGCATACTGTACTACATCCCACGATGCACTCTGTGTACTGGCGGGCCTAATGCCTCTGGATTTGGAAATTCGACAGCATAGTGACACAAGAAATATATTAAAAGAAAACAAAACTCATAATGATTTATTGAAAAAAGAGGACGAGCTAGAAGCAGATATGAAACAACACCAAAAATTATTAAGATATGAATGGGAGAAAATACATATAAAGAAATACAACTATCGGGATAAATACAGAATCTATACGGACGGATCAAGATCCTCAGAAGGAGTGGGAGCGTCGTATGTTTATTACTATAGAAATAGGGAACAGTATCATAAAAAAATCAAGTTAGATAAAAGATGCACAAATTATCAAGCAGAATTGGTAGCAATAGATCATGCAATTAACTGGATAAGTCAAAGGAAGAAAAATATAAAAATTACTATTTGCACAGACAGCCAGGCTGTATTAAAAGCTCTTAATGATGGTAACAATAAAAGTGAACTAATAGATAATATAAGACGAAATATTGTGAAAAGTGATAATATGCTAGTGTTCAGCTGGGTCAAAGCCCATTTTGGAGACCAAGGAAATGAAAGAGCGGACAGTCTGGCTAAAGAGGCTAGTTATCTAAAAACAAAGGAATCATACAGAAAAATATCTACAAAATATATAAAAACTGAAATCAAAAATAGATACATATTACAGTGGCAACAACGGTGGGAAATAACTACAAAAGGAAGGGAACTCTTTGAATACATACCAGATATTAACCAGAGGTTAAATAACAAACATCTACAAATTGGACACAAATTCACAAGATTCGTGACAGGTCATGGAGATTTTGCGAAATATCATTATAGATTTAATCATCGAGATGATGAAAACTGCGAGATTTGTGGGGTAAGTGAAACACCCACACACATCTTATTTGACTGTATGCAATATGAAAAAGTAAGAAACGAGTTAAAATTAGTTTGTAACAAAGAAGGTTACGATTGGCCTATTAGGAAAAGTAGCCTTATAAATAATGTTAACATATATTATTATTTCAATGAATTTATAAAAACTTGTTATAAAAACAGAACATAAAAATTTCTGTCATAGTTCATTGTTAAATTAATGACATCAAATACTCTACTCAACAAAAATATAATTAATGTAAAAAATAGAATTGTCGGGTATTAATGTATTGCGGCTACGACCGCGACTATGTAATCTTAACTACCTGCAAAGCGTATGCGAAGCAGGTTAATTAAAAGAGGAGTATCTCAAGCCAGTAGCATTTAATGCTACAGGTCAGAGGGAGTGCTCCACTAAATGTAATGTAATGTGATAAGGTGGCACAAGCGTGGAAGTACCTGTATGAAAGATTTGAGCAAAGTCAATTAGCCATATGAATTTGACATATTCGAAAATTTAAAATTGATTCTTCAAACATCACTGTTCTAACATTCCAGTTTGGAAGTCGGTTTAGTTAAAAACCTGAGTTGTGCAGGCCTTGGTGAAGGCCAAGAACATTTGGAAGGTGCGTTGAAGTTCTGTTACAGGTTAAAAAGGATTTGTTTGTATTTAATTACTCCAGTAATTTGAGAAGGAGACAGTTATGATAAAAATCTGATTATTATTAAATCTGACAATTGTGGAATCTTTGTAACCACAAACCACAAAATCATATATTTTATGGTAAAAACTGGCATGCCAGTTAAAGTGAGATTATACATCCGTCTATAGAGGGCACATAGAAAAAAACAAAAGTTTTTATTCTAAAACTGTCAGCATTACATCAAAAACTACAATTATATGTTTAATTTCTGCATTTTGTCTTCTTTCTAATGACATAAAATACTTACAGAATGTCAAAAGTGCTTTTTTGTTTATTTTATTGTAATTCAATCCAAAACATGCAAAAATACACATATCAAATTTCAGAAACTCACTATAGATTATCTCATCTTACACCAATTAGTATCTGCTTTGTATGAAATTTGAGAGGAAGAGTTATTTTAAGATTAGGGTAGATTGTCAGTGTAGTCTTCACTGACTAACTCTACTGTAACTAATGTCAATAAGCCACTAATTGTTTTATTGCACTGTAAATGAAAACTTTCTTCCTAATTTTAAGTGTCTGTCAAACTACAATGTTGTTATTTTATTATACTCGAAAGAATTTTTTAGCATTTATTTAACAACTAGTTTTGTTAGATCAGATTAATTTTATATTTTAGTCACAGTTTAAACAGTATGCTGTGACAGCTGGATGGCCAAGTGGTCAAGGTGGCAGTCTACTGCTCTGGGGTACCTGAGGTTGATTTTTTGGATGGTATTTTGTCCAGATATGTCGGGTCCCATTCCTCACCACTGACCATCCCATTATGGGCCTGGCTGAACCCATAATGGCTTGCTAAAAGAGGTCCTCTTAGTGCCTACAGAGTAAAAAAATTTTTTTAAAAATTGACATTCTCGTGTAAATGTGGTATACGTAAAATTTGTTTCAGTAAGATAAAATAAATTTTTGAAATTTTTTTATATGTTTATAAATGTTATTTTTTTTTTAAATAAAGATTCAGCCACACACATGTATCTTATTTACATATTTTATTCTTTATTGAGTTTTAGTAATCTAGTATTTTTTAAAAATTAATTAATGTAGTTATGCTAAAAAGTAATTATGGAGTTCTTTGATATTTTTCATTTCAACAGACAGGTTTTATTAAAGCATTGTCATCTAATCCATGTGCATTTGCCAGAGGTTTTTGTCAGATACAGAGAGTTATGAGAAATTTATTTGTTCGAAAGCTTTATTTATGGCCAAGATTTCATGCTGTTGTATCAAGTACTTTTGAGAAATGCAAGGTATATAAATTTTAGTTATTTGTTATTTAATAGTAATAATTGTGAGATATTTTGATGAGCTTTAAAGAGACAGATGTGTTACATTTAAAGACAATAATTTAATTTGTGAAAATAAATATTTAAAGAAAATTAATATTTATTTGAAACTCTCATACCATAAAACTGTATTTAAAATTTAACATCTGTTTTATACTGTATTTTAGAAAAAAGCATGTAAATTAATTATTCAGTGTTAAAGATTGGAAAAAAGTTATTGTTTAATGATGCTTGCACATTGCCTTTTGTTGCAAAGTCATATTGCCTTTTTTTTTTTTTTTTATAGAAAACTAATTGATTTTATAAAAACATGTATTACTGATATAACACCAAATGAAACCCAAATCCAGTAAAAAGCATATTTATTCTCCAAGGACTGCTATGAACACCATCTAATACCTGGGGTTACACAATCCCAGTCACAGATAACACATCTAAACAACAATTATAATAAATCAGCACTACTACATGTCCTTTATGCTTTTGAAGGAACACCTTCACATCTATAAGGCATGATGCCACCTCCTTAGCCCTTTTAGCCATAGAATATCAGATTCAAGCATACTTACACAAAGTCCAACTTCTACATCTGGCCAGAGCTTATGTTCTTCAAACACTTCAAAATATTAGAAATATATAAAACTAATAACAAAAATGTGGCAATTAATTTTAAAGATACAAACATCCTACATCAGGCCTGGAGATTTTTATATGAGATCCAGTTTTAATTTCTACATCACTGCAGTAACAACCAATTGAATGGCACTTCACCATCATTTAAAGATTGATGTTTAAAGTTATGTTCTATTTTAAAACACTATGCCATAATGTGGTGACAATAGCTGAAAGCTATCAGAAACATTTGTTTTTGGGTAAATATTATGGTTTTTTTTTAAACTGGATTTGGGTTTAATTTGATTTTATTCATAATTTATCCAGTTTTGTGGTGGTTTATTATATTACTGAAGTATACTAGTTCAAAGAAATAGTCTTGAAAAATAGAATTAATATTAAAAAATTATTAAAATATAATTGCAATGACTAAAAACATATTATGCATCATTTTTATATGTTATTACTGTATTGTTGAATAACTGAACAGTATTTTAATATCTTAGTGTTGTAACTTTGTTCAACAATTTATTAAAGTTTTATTTGTTTTAGATTATTACTTTTAGATTTTAAAACAATATCAGTTAATTCATAAAAAATAAGAAAATAGAATATATTATATCATTAATATATGAAATTACACTAAACATCAATGTATATAAGACAAACTGGATAAAAGTACTATAAATAACATCAATATCATCAATAAACCAGCAAAGAACAAGATCATAATGAAAATAGAAACATTGTTCTTTGCTGGTTTATTGATGATATTGGTGTTTTCATATAAAATTATATTTATAAAATTTAAATTTGAATATTTTGTAGCCAGATGTTGATGAACTCCATATTACTATGACATCAGCTATGCAAAGTATTCAGTTGGCCTTATTAGATATAATGAATGTGTGTATAAAGGAAATAAAAAAATTAAATAAAACAGTAAGCATTTTTTTAAATCAATAGTAAGTTAACTTATTTCAAATTTTGTATAATTATTTGCATTATTAAATATATAATTTTATTCCAGCTGGATACAGAAGAAGTAACAGTAGAAAATGCTATTTCAAAATCATTTGATAAAATTATCAAGTATCAGCTAGATCCAATTTGGCACCAGTTAGGACCAAAAACACACAGACTAATATCAGATCTTAAAACTCTTCGCACCATTCTTATGTAAGTGATTGAAATAAATTTACATATGAAAAATACTAAAAATAATTTTATTTTAGTGTATCATTTAGTATTAAAGTACAGAATAACTGGAAAATCTTAAAGTGGTATTCATTTGTTTTATTTATAATTTTAAAACAGAAGCACTCAAATATCTTAATTAATTTTTTCTCTATTTTCTTAAAATGTATCTTTATATCTATGTAATTGTCTGATCTTCTTCCAGTATCCAGAAGATTAGTCAAAGTAGGATGCTGGATACTCAGTTGCAGAAGAAGATCAGGAAAGTAGCACTAATGGGTTGTGCAACTGTTAAACTCAATTCTTCAATAAGTCACTTCTGTCTTAGAAATACTGTTTGTAACTATAATGTTCTAGGTTCTGTTTTCTGATTTGGTATATTTAATTTATTTGGTTTTCTAGACATTGCATTGCTTTGCAAATGGTTTACTGTAGCGTTAGATTGGTTATGCTGTGAGTGTTTGATTTTACACTCCCAATGTAGGATTGAGATAATTTATATTTGTAGACCATATTCCCTTCAAGATGTTGGGCTAAAAATATTTGGGGTTTTCTTAGGTCAGTTCTTAAAATCGTATCTAATTTTAACTTTAGAAAGGACCAGCAGTTTATTTATTTTTTGTATTACATAAAAATAAATGAATAATTTCATTTTATTTAAAATAATTTATTATCAATTTATTTAATTATAAAAGATTTATTAATTATAATTTTATTAATATTATTAGGTATTTAACACAGTATGATTGTGTTACATTTTATAATCTTCTGAAGTCAATTAGGTAAGTCTATTTTTACGAATTAACTTTTTTTGAATAAATTTTTACAAATTTTATGGATATTTATATTTTATAATTTTTTGAAAATGACTCTGAGAATTCCATCATATACTGCTTTCTGCTCTGAAATTAAAATTGGTTCTTTGACAAAAATGAAATCATTCATTTCCATTACATTATAAGATGTTTCTCACAAGATTTCTTCAAACAATGGCTTGCAACATTGTCTTCTTGGCTGGGATATACCTAAATAATCCACATTTTTACCATTCATTGATAAATAGATGTCTTTTATGATAAACAAAGCTTCATTCAAAATGTTCTGAAAGAAACTGATTTCAATAGTGGGATTGTACTTTTTTACTTGAAGAAAGATATCCTCATTGAAATGGTTCTCATAACTGAAATGGTGAGTCAGAAAATTGTTAACAGAATACAAAAGATATATCTAGTTTTGCCAGCTGATTGAGTGGCAACTGTCAATGATCATCTTGCAAAAGACCTTTTCTAAGGCATGCTTCTTGATATGTATTATATATATAATCATTAACAGGTTTTCAAGTTCTGGAAAGAAGTTGGATTGTGTACAACATATAGCAGCTTTTTGAGATGAAAAACATTCAATATTTGATAGATGGATAGAGAAGACTCTACCAAGAGCCTTCACTGTCCATCTATCAAATATTGTCTACAAGACTATCCATCTGATGAACAAACATCTGGATATCCTTCTAATTGTGTTCCTTGTTTTCTTGAACACTTTTGTGGAAAAATTCTATTTATATAATATCTGAGAATTTCAAATGGATCTTGCTGATATATTTAAAAGAATGCTGTTAAGAGTGCTGCTAATTCTTAGTGAAATCTGAAAATTTTGTTTGAGATTCTCCTCAGTGAAGTATATTCTTTGTCTTTTTTTTTCTAAATAAACACTAAGATGCATAATTGTTGGTTTTCTTTCATGAATTGGAAAAGCAAAGATTTTCCATACTGTTTCATTGCTACTGATATACCTTCCAATTTGAAACTGGTGTATTTTGTTAAAGCATTTTATTCTCATTTTGCATTTCAAATGCTGTTTGGTCACTTCCCTTGTTAATATATTTGATTGTTTTACAGAATAACATGATTCAAGAATGGTGTGTCTGGAAAATTTTTCTAAACAAGAGAGGAGAGAACTATCCACATATTGTCAATCTCTACCTGATGTTAAGTATTTCTGAGTTGGATCTTAAGGTTGGCTGCAAAGCCACTATCTTTAGGTTTCCTTTGTCTATATAAAGTTATTCAAACTAACTGAGAATGAATTTTCCCATAAAAATTATTTTGGATAAATCTTTGAGCATTAATCATCACTCATGCATGGGGTTGAGGTTGAGATCACTATGTGGATTTTGAATCATGTGTTTGAAGCCATCATAAAGAATAGGGTCTTTATTCCTGTTTGAAACTTTTACTGAAATGATTTTGTCAATATCTCTTTCAAGTATTTTTGTTTTCAATTAAATTAATGCAAGTGCTTGAGGAAGGTTTCTCTGTGGAGTACAGGCAATTGTGTCATCAAAAATGTGTGATCTGATAATAAGTTTTATTATTGTGTAAAGTTTTTCTTGAATACTCGAGCAACCAACTCACATTAATCTGTTGTTGACTGTCCTGGGAAAAGATGTTTGTGGATTTCTTTCCCTAGTGCACAGGTTCCAAACCTATGGGTCGCGACCCAGAAGGGGGTCGCAACGGGTTTTCTGTGGGGTCGCCAACTTATGCAGTAAACTAAAGAACATTTTCACTATAATGCAATATTTATTTTTAATGGTGCCTTGAAGTTTGAATAATTTCATATATTTTTTGAAACTTAAAATAAGTGTAATCTGGGTAGCTATTCTAGTATTCTGTCACAGTTGGTTGAAACATGTGTTGAGAATTTTGAGAGGAATAAATTAAATGTTGAGAATGATATGAGGTTGGCGTTAACAAAATCTCACCCGCGAATTTTTAGGCTGGTTAATAACATACAATTTCAACCATCGCCTTAAATTAATTATTAAACATAATATAAAGTAAAATTATACTGAAAAACTAATTTTGTTGTTTTTTTAATTACCTTATTAAAAATGCTTTTTTCAATTGTATCGGAATCGTGGGTCACTTGGCTTTTATAAAAAGGGGTCGCCATCCAAAAAAGGTTGGAAACCGTTGCCCTATTGTCTTGCATATGAAAGATGAAAATATCATGTCATTCATAGTTTCTGCCATGAGTGAATGCATCTTTGGTATATGCCTTAGACTTCTTGAAAATGTTGGTAGCAAAATCATTATTCTTCAAGATCTTCTGGATTGGCATCATTCTGCATAGCGTCTTTCAGATGAATATAGTCATCAATATAAAGTTTTTTCCCTGGTTGAAATGAATGTAGAGCAGTCTCACTTTCAATCTTGGCAAACACATCTACAGTACAAGAAATTGATGGGAACAACAGGTAACATCCTAAACTGTAGTTGTTCCATTCTCTAGCCATTATTCTGTATGCATAGAAATCTAAGGTAGATACTTTCTTTGTAAATGTTACAAAGTCCAGTGTTTGTATAAATCTGGTTTATGCCAAAGTGATAAAACATTTTATGAACTAGTTATAAAATCTGAGATTTGCTCAATGGAAATCTGCTAAATAAATATAATAATTTACACTACCTATAATATTAAATATTGTATTAAATTTTGTATTAATACCAAATATTGTACAGTAAAACCTATGTAAATCAGGATCATACAGTTATGTTCATTTTCATAGTAAAATCACATTTACATTAGTAAAAAAATTATTAGGTTTAATCCAAAGTAATTTCAAATCAAGATGGGATTATTTGAATGCAAGAATTGAGAATTATTCAATTCTAAAAAATTCTCATTGTTTCCAAGAATTTGTGCTAGGTATTCAAATGTTTTTCAACTGTAATCCTTATGAGTTCATATGACTGCAAATAAGACTACCAAAAGCTAGTGTCCTGTTATGCTATTGGAAATTCTAACCATATTACAGTAATACAGAGACCAAGTTATTCTATGATCTGATTTCTTGAGGAATTTTAATACTCTAATTAATTGTTAACTTCAGTCTCTATAATTGCTAACAATGTTAATAAACTTGTTCTTTAATGCTTGGTACTAGTTAGTTAGTTGTTAACTATTCCATAATGGCAATTTGCAGTATTGTGTTATCTTATTTTCTTTGTTTTCAATGAATTACATTTGTTGCTTATTCTAGGGAACTCATTATATTTTTGAAATAATAACAACTCAATGCCCGAGTAGTAGAGAATAAATCACCAAACGATCGCCTAAATATCGGGCTATAATATGGCTAATTAAATGATTGGTATAAAGTAATTTGACATTAGAGGTAGATGTTAGGTGCCATCTCTTAAGTAAATTAATCATTATAATTAAATAAATTTAGAACCTTCTGGAATAAAGCACGTAACTGGCAAGCACACTGCACGGCAAGCAGAGGTTGCGGGTTCAAGCCCTGTCCCGGGCCAGTTCTTTTATTCCAGAAGGTTCTAAATTTATTTAATAATTTATTTATTTAATTATAATGATTAATTTACTTAAGAGATGGTGCCTAATGTCTACCTCTAATGTCAAATTACTTTATACCAATCATTTAATTAGCCATATTATAGCCCGATATTTAGGCGATTGTTTGGTGATTTATATATTTTTGAAAGTTTTGACTTTTAAAAGTATTCAATTCTGCCTCTGGTTAATTCTAACAAAGAATAATAGTAACAAAGACATGTGTGTCCTTGTCATGTGATCTTTGTTTCTCTGAAAAGGTTTGAAATCATTCTCTGAATATAATTTGTCTTATTCTGCATACATATACTGCATATACTGGTATATATGGAGACGATTTCATCTATAAACTACTTAATAGTCTATAGATGAAATCGTGATTTTCTGCTTTATTAAAAAACAATTTTTCATTTTCTGGTTTTCTGGTTACTTTCTTTGTTCCCGAAAACCTTTTCTGTTGACTTGTAAAATTTAATAAAGAAAATTGCTGTTTCAAAGTTGTTTCTATTGTAAATGCTCATTTATGAAGTCTTTTATAAACAAATACTTAAAATTATACTGTATTTTTGCAGATTGACCGGCATGTTGCTTATAACCAGGGGAGACCAGCATGCCAGAAACCTGCGACTAAAAAATAAAATTAATCAGATCTAACAAAACTAGTTGTTAAGTAAATGTTAAAGTAAACATTCTTCTGAATGCGTAAAATAATAACATTGTAATTTGACTGATTTAAAATCAGAAAGAAAGTTTTCTTTTACAGTGTGATAAAACAATTAGTGGCTTATTGAAATTAGTTATAGTAGTCAGTCAGTCAGTCCTGCACTGACCATCTACTCTGACCTTAAAAGTAAAATCTTCTTCTCAAATTTCACACAAAGGGGATGTTAATTGGTGTAAGTTGAGATAATTTATAGCCAGTTTCTGAAATTTGATATGTGTATTTTTGCATGTTTTGGATTGAACTACAATAAAATAAATATAAAAAAAAAAAACACACTTTTGGCATTCTACTAGTATTTTATATCCTTAGAAGATAAATGAAGAAATTAAACGTATAATCATAGTTTTGATATAATGCTGACAGTTTCACAATTTTAGAATAAAAGTTGTTCATTTCCCTCTAGAAAAGAATGCATAATCTTACTTAAACTAACATGACAGCAATCACCTGGGATAAACTGGCATGCTGATTTTTACCATATGGAAATACCTGATTTTGTGGTCTCTCCAGATAGACCAACATGACAATCTGTGAAAATATGGTATTTTGTCTGACCTCTATTCAATTGAATGTTTCTAATTACATTTTTAGAGAAAATATTGAAGTAAATGCTCATATGTCCGATTGGCTTTTTATGGATGTTGCAGAGAATATGTTCGTTGTAAGTAATTTAAAAATTTATATTATTCAAATTATAAATTTAATGCATAATGCAAAGAAACAAACTGTTAATAAAGAATAATTTCAGCAAAGCAAGGAAAGATTATTTGGAAAAATTGATATTAAAAAGTTAAAAGAAGAAAGAATTGAAGGTTTGTACCAACAAAAAAAAATATATTTGTTTACTTTTTGTAAACTAATTTTAATTTTACTTTGTAATTGCAGATTTAAAACTAGAAGATAATCCTAAATGGCTTGTTTTATCTGAAATTTTAGCTGAAATTAAAGAAAATACAAAAAAAAATGTTAATCCAGCAGTAGCGTTAATATTAACTGATGATGATCATACTCGACAACAAATAAATGAAGTTTGTATTAAAAACTTTTCAGTTAATTTCTTATACTTACTCAAATACCATTCTTAATTCAATTATAGATAAGATTTTTGTTTGTAAAATATTTAAACAAAAATGTAATTTTAAAACTAATAGAGGTTCTAGTTGAAAAAGAAGAAATAAAGACCTATTTTTCTAGTAATGCAGATTTTTTCAGATAATTAGACTCAAATATGAATATATCATTTACTTTTTATTTACAAATTTTTAAAACTAATATATAAACAAATATATATACAGGAAATTCTCATTAATTTGAACTCAGATAGTTCGAAATCCCATTAGTTTATAACTGTACTTTTGTCTTGGCTGGGGATGTAGGAAGTTACATGTTAAGGAATTTGGTTAGTTCAAAATATAGCTACTTTGTAATTCAAAGTGAAAATTCTGTCCAAACTGTGATATGCATATGTTAACTCGTTTGGTTACCAGATATAAAAAGTAAAGCAGAATTCCTTGAAATGTAGCCCAAATTATTTTTAAAGTGGCCCAAAAAGTAGCAAGTCACCCAAAAGTAGTAGCTTAGACTCCTACAAATATCTCAATCTGCTCTTGCAATCCTAAAACCCAGCCATATTTTATGAAATAAGAGGAAAAAAGGCAGTCCTTATGTAAGGTGACACCTAAAAATGTGTTACTGTAAAAGCAGTCATATTGATCATATTAGAGTTGTTCTTCTTCTATTGTTCTCTTATAACATGGAGACACTTTGATCTAAACAAATGAGTTAACATATACATATCAGTTTGGACAGAATTTTCACTTTGAATTACAAAGTAGCCATATTTCGAATTAACCAAATTCCTTAACATGTAACTTCCTATATCCCCGGCCTGGACCTGTACAGTTACGAATTAATGATGATTTTCTGTATTATTGGTTTTAATTAAATCATAATTTAGCTTTGTTGGACTGCAATTTGAAAAATTTGTAGACCTATAAATTCCCAGTCATCTGTCTGTCCTTCCTGTATTTATCAGTGTTGTTACATAGATATTTGCATCAAAAGTATTGCAGAAAACTGATTATACTTGAAATAAAATTATTTTTTTAACGTTATAAACTTTTATAGTTTGTTTTCAATATTACAAGTTTAAGACATATCTAGAAGACAAATCATTTGCAATATTGTAGATAGCAAATAATAAGTTATAACATCAATCCTAATATGTGCATTGATATAGACATATTTATTTTTGTATATTTCTATTTCTATTGTAATAAAAAATACAAAAAATAACTTGTTTCATTGGATTTTCCAAAAATATATATACAATACACATATGAGGATGTATAGTATTTAAATAAGAATATGCATTTTTTTTCTTTGTGTAACTAACAATGCTTTGCATTTTAAACTTAGTTTTTATGCAGAGGATCACAACAGTTTCTGAGAAAATTATATAATAACTCCTTAAAGAAAAAATGTTTAAAAATGAAGAGTAAGGAGAATAGGAAGGGTGGGAAGAAAAGAAAAGAAAGTGAATTGAATGAAGAAAATATATTAAATAATTCATCATCATCAGAGGTATTTAAAATTAATTTGCATTTAATATATGTTATATATTAGGAAGTTGAATTTTAGGATCTAAGTTAGAGCTACACATTTACAAAATAATACATTTGTCATTTTTTAACTGATGGAAGAAAATAATTCAAATTAAACATGGTAATTCCAAAATTTTATTTTATGTTTGATATTTTGAGGTAATTCTTTTTTATACGTAATTAATTTATGAAACAAACGAACTTTATAATTTTATTTTTTAAATATGTAAACTAGCAGCTTATTAAATAAAAAAAAAGTCGAAATTTATGATATATAATTTGATTTATAAAATAAAAGCATACAAAAATAAAAATGTCAAAGTAAATCAAAATAACAACAGCAATGAAATAATTAAATTGCATGTAATAACTTTTATGAAGTTTTTTGCATTGTAAATTGTTGTGTTATTTGTAAAAGGACAAATTAATAGTATTTACAAAATGTGAATGATAACATGAAAATCCACATTTCTTCTTTTTAAAGACAATTAACTGATAAAATAATAATAATGATATATTATTTTATTAATATTATGTAATTATCAGGATAGAAAATGCAGATTTGCAAAGAAGAAAAGTGTAAACAAGAATGAATAATTTCAATAGAAGCTCTGAAGAATAAATTACTCAATTATAAAATAAGAACAAGTTTATTAAAAACTTTTTTTGATTTTTACCATGAGTGATGCCAAAATTGTTGACTGAATTAGAAATTTTTAAGTAATAAGGTAATGAAAATATGAAAAATATAATATATAGTGTAAATTGACAGGAAAAGTAATGCCGTATTATTTCACTGAGAGTACAAAAATACTTAACTATTTTATTTATATTTAATAAAATAGTTTATAACTATAATTTAAATTAATATTTGACTAATTAAAATGGTGTAATATAAATTTAAAACAGAAAATTTTAAATAAAGGTGAAAAAATAACATCAACAATCACTGATTATTATTGTTGCTGTTATATTGTACTATATATCAAGGTAATAAAACAAGTGCTTTATTACCTTGATATATAGCAAGGTAATTTTTCCCATGTTTTCACTTTCTATCAATAATTATTGATTGCCAAAGTTCTTTCATAAGCAATTGTTACAGACTGGTCTATAAGGGGAAAATACGCACAAAAAATTGACATGCAGATATAGGTAGACATTAAATACAGTAGACTCACCTATAAAACAGGTTCATATAATTCAGATTCGTATATAACAGCGAAAAAATTGTGACCGTATTTGTATAAACACGCTAAAAGAGACTCCTATATAACAGTAAAATGTCATCGCTAACTCGTGTCGTGACAAGATTGGTCGAATCTAGATCAATAGCAGATATTGCACAAACTGTTGAGTTTAAATGAGCAGCAGACCTACTAAAACCATTTATTATTTAATGTTCATAAAAATTATATTTATATTAATGATGTCTCCAAAGTTCAGCAAATTTTTCGCAGAAAAATAATTTATCAGGAAACATGCATGCCCCTATTCAATGCACCGCTCCACAATGAAAACAAGCTTAAGCAATGATGTCATTGAATGGTGCACACTTGGTAATTAATCCTACAATTTTTTGTTTATAGCATAGTTTATATGGATTATTCCCAAAAAAATTATACGTGTTTTGGAAATGTTGAGTCAAATTAGTCTAGAATCGATTAATTTTATGGAAAAAAACCTTTCAACTGTAGTCCGTAAACCTCATATGTGCCGGGCTGCGATTGGCTCATGTATTTAAGGACTCGTAGAACATCAATTTCATAAAGAACGGAACGTATCTATCGTGTTATAGGGGGTCAACTGTATTTACGATGTGAACTTTATAAGTATAATAAATAAACATGTCATGATAAATCGGCAGTGAATAATGCTCAGCATATACAATTATAAAAATGGATTTGTCCAATTGACTACTAATGGCCGTTCTAGGCTCTTATTTGTATATTTCCAAAATTTTCAGAAAATTTTGTTGATTAATATTAATTATATTCTTTAGATAAGTGATTTTATAGACTAAATTGAGATAGACATGCCTTCAGATTCTTAAAACTTGTAATAAAGATTTCAAATTCTCAATATATTCGATTAGGTATTCATTCAGTGTGTCAATGACTATGTTTATTGTATGGTAGAATCTGCTTATTGTAATCACTTTGAGACTTCTTCACCTGAATCTGTATTGATGATGATAACTGAATAATAGCATTAAGCAAGGTAAGAAAATAATACTGTAATTAGTGGAAATTCTGCTTATTGACTTTGACATTAACAGGTGCAGAAACTTGTCTAAGCTTGTCATAATAGTTAAACCATCTGGCTACTTGTCTGCAAAGATTTGTTCATGTCTTGTAACTCATTATTTTTCTGTACTCCATTCACATATTGCTGTGAGAAAGTGCTATCATGTTTTTGTCATGGAACAAAAAGCGAATATTAAGTTTTGTTACAAGTTGGGTAAAAGTGCAACAGAGATGTATGCCCTCATCAAGCAAGTTTATAGGAATGATGCCCTATCCCGCTCTTGTGTTTTTGAGTTGTTTGTATGTTTCAGGGATGGTCGGAAAGACCTTGAGGACAATGCTTGCCCTGGATGACCTCAATCAGTTCAAATACCAGAAAACATCAAAAAAATGAGAGACTTGCTACGATATGACCATTGAATATCTATTTGGATGATAGTGGAGATAACTGGTATCAATCTGGAGACAACTCACTTAATCATCACCGAAGATTTGGGCAAAAGAAAAATCTGCTCCCGCCTTCATTCTGCACTATCTCAGTGAGGACCAAAAGCATCTCTGACTGGAAGCATGTCAACAGTTCATTCAAGATGTTGATGATGACCCTTCTTTACTGGATTCCGAAAATCAAAATCACATTGAAGGGACGAAGGTTCAATGACCTGGAGGACATACAGCGCAATGTGACCAAGGAATTGAGAGTTGTCAACGGAAGTGACTTTGCCGAGTGTTTTAAGAACTTGTACAAGCATTGTGAGAAGTGCATTGCTCTCCAGGGGATTACTTTGAAACATATTAAAAGGGTTTTTCATTATATGTTCTTTGTGTCCTTTTATTACCCCAGTCCTGGAATTTAATTGTCACACCTTGTATGAAATGATATGAAAAAAAAAACAGCAAATAAGGTTTCAAAACATATAACAGAGAACTGAAGTGCATAAATATAAAATTAATATAAAAATTATTTATAATATAAGTACATACATTTATGTATCAAGGACCTTCAATAATAATAACTGTATGCTCACACTAAATACTTTTTTACTTTATTCTAAGATTGCCATACTAGTCGATGTACAATGGAGTCTTAAGCTACTTAACTTGCTCCAACTAACAATAGATAGGTAAGAAGTAACGGTTATGTAAACAGAAAAGACACTGAGATGATGCTGTGGAAAGGGGGAAATTTAAAAAACATTGTTAGCCTTAATTTATTAATAATAAGATATAAGAACAATTAGCAGGCTTTCAAATTCACTGTTAATAATTCATTCCAGAATTGTTTTCCTGTGGGGCATATGCTTCACGTTGGGAACCACAGCTTTAGATGAATGTAAACTTTAATTTTATTGTTTCAATAAATAAAATTATTGCAAAATATAGAGATAAAAAACATAAGTTTTATACTACTATATAATATTATTATAATATATATGTACAAATATTTATTTAAAGTTAACAATAGATTATTTAAGAATATTATGCTTTGTAACAGCTTCAGATCTGAAGGTTAATATTGATAAATACACATACAATATATCAATACATTTAGAATATCTGTTATTGAAAATGAATAAGTTTTAAACAAAATTTATTTACATTTGTCAATATTTTATAAAGACAGATTCAGAAGTAGAAGAAGTAGAAAATGAAGATAAGGATAACAAAACAGAAGAGAAAAATTTAACTTCTCCAATAACAATTATTCAAGCGTTACATGGAAGTAATGATCCATTCAGTTTACAAAAAGTTTTACAAGCAAATGAACCTAATTATATTATATTATATAATGCTGATATTGGTGCAATTCGTTTAATAGAGGCAAGAATTTTTATTTTTTATAGTTTTGATTATAAAAAAAAATGACTTTAACATAAAACTAAAAATTAAATGCATTTCAAATAAAATAAATCTTATTTTATTTTAATATTAAAAAATTATTGCATTAACTTTATGAAAAACAATTTTTTTTATTAAAGATGTTTCAAGCATTAAATCCTCATTTATCAATAAAAGTGTACTTTTTAATATACGGAGACTCTGCAGAAGAACAACGTTACTTAAGTACATTGAGAAAAGAAAAAGAAGCTTTTGAATTTCTTATTAGAGAGAAAAGTGTAAGAAACATTTAATAAAAATATTGGTTCTATTATATAAGTTGTATATAAGTAGTTTTAAGTCATTTGTTTTTATTTTTTAACTTTTTTCCTTTTTTTTATAATAATTTATGTCTCATTGTAGTAAAATTATAGTTAATTTATTATTTTATAACAGCGCTGTCCAACTTATCATAGCCCGCGGGCCATATTTTCTTCACAAAACATTTCGGGGGCCAAGAAGGTTGATAAACCACATGACATTTGCATAGTGCTACGGTTCAGTAAGCACTAATTGGTCAGCGAGTCCAATGTTGACGCTGTAAAAAGGCGACAGTTCGACACACCGGATATACGTCACTCTTGTCTAAGTTCGACTTGGAAATTTTTTTGTTCAATAATAAATGTGAATTCTTCTTCCTGGAAAGAATAAGACATTCCCTGAAAATAAGACCTAGCGCATTTTTCAGAGCAAAAATTAATATAAGACACTGTCTTATTTTCGGGGAAACACGGTAGTAAAATAATTTTAATATTAATAATAATAATAATTTAGTAACAAATTTATTCATAGTAAAATGTACTCGCGGGCCGTAAAAATTATTTGGCGGGCCGTATACGGCCCGCGGGCCGCCAGTTGGACAGCGCTGGTATANAATAAGCCACTAATTGTTTTATCACACTGTAAAAGAAAACTTTCTTTCTGATTTTAAATCAGTCAAATTACAATGTTATTATTTTACGCATTCAGAAGAATGTTTACTTTAACATTTACTTAACAACTAGTTTTGTTAGATCTGATTAATTTTATTTTTTAGTCGCAGGTTTCTGGCATGCTGGTCTCCCCTGGTTATAAGCAACATGCCGGTCAATCTGCAAAAATACAGTATAATTTTAAGTATTTGTTTATAAAAGACTTCATAAATGAGCATTTACAATAGAAACAACTTTGAAACAGCAATTTTCTTTATTAAATTTTACAAGTCAACAGAAAAGGTTTTCGGGAACAAAGAAAGTAACCAGAAAACCAGAAAATGAAAAATTGTTTTTTAATAAAGCAGAAAATCACGATTTCATCTATAGACTATTAAGTAGTTTATAGATGAAATCGTCTCCATATATACCAGTATATGCAGTATATGTATGCAGAATAAGACAAATTATATTCAGAGAATGATTTCAAACCTTTTCAGAGAAACAAAGATCACATGACAAGGACACACATGTCTTTGTTACTATTATTCTTTGTTAGAATTAACCAGAGGCAGAATTGAATACTTTTAAAAGTCAAAACTTTCAAAAATATATAAATCACCAAACAATCGCCTAAATATCGGGCTATAATATGGCTAATTAAATGATTGGTATAAAGTAATTTGACATTAGAGGTAGACATTAGGCACCATCTCTTAAGTAAATTAATCATTATAATTAAATAAATAAATTATTAAATAAATTTAGAACCTTCTGGAATAAAAGAACTGGCCCGGGACAGGGCTTGAACCCGCAACCTCTGCTTGCCGTGCAGTGTGCTTGCCAGTTACGTGCTTTATTCCAGAAGGTTCTAAATTTATTTAATTATAATGATTAATTTACTTAAGAGATGGTGCCTAATGTCTACCTCTAATGTCAAATTACTTTATACCAATCATTTAATTAGCCATATTATAGCCCGATATTTAGGCGATTGTTTGGTGATTTATATATTTTTGAAAGTTTTGACTTTTAAAAGTATTCAATTCTGCCTCTGGTTAATTCTAACAAAGAATAATAGTAACAAAGACATGTGTGTCCTTGTCATGTGATCTTTGTTTCTCTGAAAAGGTTTGAAATCATTCTCTGAATATAATTTGTCTTATTCTGCATACATATACTGCATATACTGGTATATATGGAGACGATTTCATCTATAAACTACTTAATAGTCTATAGATGAAATCGTGATTTTCTGCTTTATTAAAAAACAATTTTTCATTTTCTGGTTTTCTGGTTACTTTCTTTGTTCCCAAAAACCTTTTCTGTTGACTTGTAAAATTTAATAAAGAAAATTGCTGTTTCAAAGTTGTTTCTATTGTAAATGCTCATTTATGAAGTCTTTTATAAACAAATACTTAAAATTATACTGTATTTTTGCAGATTGACCGGCATGTTGCTTATAACCAGGGGAGACCAGCATGCCAGAAACCTGCGACTAAAAAATAAAATTAATCAGATCTAACAAAACTAGTTGTTAAGTAAATGTTAAAGTAAACATTCTTCTGAATGCGTAAAATAATAACATTGTAATTTGACTGATTTAAAATCAGAAAGAAAGTTTTCTTTTACAGTGTGATAAAACAATTAGTGGCTTATTGAAATTAGTTATAGTAGTCAGTCAGTCAGTCCTGCACTGACCATCTACTCTGACCTTAAAAGTAAAATCTTCTTCTCAAATTTCACACAAAGGGGATGTTAATTGGTGTAAGTTGAGATAATTTATAGCCAGTTTCTGAAATTTGATATGTGTATTTTTGCATGTTTTGGATTGAACTACAATAAAATAAATATAAAAAAAAAAAACACACTTTTGGCATTCTACTAGTATTTTATATCCTTAGAAGATAAATGAAGAAATTAAACGTATAATCATAGTTTTGATATAATGCTGACAGTTTCACAATTTTAGAATAAAAGTTGTTCATTTCCCTCTAGAAAAGAATGCATAATCTTACTTAAACTAACATGACAGCAATCACCTGGGATAAACTGGCATGCTGATTTTTACCATATGGAAATACCTGATTTTGTGGTCTCTCCAGATAGACCAACATGACAATCTGTGAAAATATGGTATTTTGTCTGACCTCTATTCAATTGAATGTTTCTAATTACATTTTTAGAGAAAATATTGAAGTAAATGCTCATATGTCCGATTGGCTTTTTATGGATGTTGCAGAGAATATGTTCGTTGTAAGTAATTTAAAAATTTATATTATTCAAATTATAAATTTAATGCATAATGCAAAGAAACAAACTGTTAATAAAGAATAATTTCAGCAAAGCAAGGAAAGATTATTTGGAAAAATTGATATTAAAAAGTTAAAAGAAGAAAGAATTGAAGGTTTGTACCAACAAAAAAAAATATATTTGTTTACTTTTTGTAAACTAATTTTAATTTTACTTTGTAATTGCAGATTTAAAACTAGAAGATAATCCTAAATGGCTTGTTTTATCTGAAATTTTAGCTGAAATTAAAGAAAATACAAAAAAAAATGTTAATCCAGCAGTAGCGTTAATATTAACTGATGATGATCATACTCGACAACAAATAAATGAAGTTTGTATTAAAAACTTTTCAGTTAATTTCTTATACTTACTCAAATACCATTCTTAATTCAATTATAGATAAGATTTTTGTTTGTAAAATATTTAAACAAAAATGTAATTTTAAAACTAATAGAGGTTCTAGTTGAAAAAGAAGAAATAAAGACCTATTTTTCTAGTAATGCAGATTTTTTCAGATAATTAGACTCAAATATGAATATATCATTTACTTTTTATTTACAAATTTTTAAAACTAATATATAAACAAATATATATACAGGAAATTCTCATTAATTTGAACTCAGATAGTTCGAAATCCCATTAGTTTATAACTGTACTTTTGTCTTGGCTGGGGATGTAGGAAGTTACATGTTAAGGAATTTGGTTAGTTCAAAATATAGCTACTTTGTAATTCAAAGTGAAAATTCTGTCCAAACTGTGATATGCATATGTTAACTCGTTTGGTTACCAGATATAAAAAGTAAAGCAGAATTCCTTGAAATGTAGCCCAAATTATTTTTAAAGTGGCCCAAAAAGTAGCAAGTCACCCAAAAGTAGTAGCTTAGACTCCTACAAATATCTCAATCTGCTCTTGCAATCCTGAAACCCAGCCATATTTTATGAAATAAGAGGAAAAAAGGCAGTCCTTATGTAAGGTGACACCTAAAAATGTGTTACTGTAAAAGCAGTCATATTGATCATATTAGAGTTGTTCTTCTTCTATTGTTCTCTTATAACATGGAGACACTTTGATCTAAACAAATGAGTTAACATATACATATCAGTTTGGACAGAATTTTCACTTTGAATTACAAAGTAGCCATATTTCGAATTAACCAAATTCCTTAACATGTAACTTCCTATATCCCCGGCCTGGACCTGTACAGTTACGAATTAATGATGATTTTCTGTATTATTGGTTTTAATTAAATCATAATTTAGCTTTGTTGGACTGCAATTTGAAAAATTTGTAGACCTATAAATTCCCAGTCATCTGTCTGTCCTTCCTGTATTTATCAGTGTTGTTACATAGATATTTGCATCAAAAGTATTGCAGAAAACTGATTATACTTGAAATAAAATTATTTTTTTAACGTTATAAACTTTTATAGTTTGTTTTCAATATTACAAGTTTAAGACATATCTAGAAGACAAATCATTTGCAATATTGTAGATAGCAAATAATAAGTTATAACATCAATCCTAATATGTGCATTGATATAGACATATTTATTTTTGTATATTTCTATTTCTATTGTAATAAAAAATACAAAAAATAACTTGTTTCATTGGATTTTGCAAAAATATATATACAATACACATATGAGGATGTATAGTATTTAAATAAGAATATGCATTTTTTTTCTTTGTGTAACTAACAATGCTTTGCATTTTAAACTTAGTTTTTATGCAGAGGATCACAACAGTTTCTGAGAAAATTATATAATAACTCCTTAAAGAAAAAATGTTTAAAAATGAAGAGTAAGGAGAATAGGAAGGGTGGGAAGAAAAGAAAAGAAAGTGAATTGAATGAAGAAAATATATTAAATAATTCATCATCATCAGAGGTATTTAAAATTAATTTGCATTTAATATATGTTATATATTAGGAAGTTGAATTTTAGGATCTAAGTTAGAGCTACACATTTACAAAATAATACATTTGTCATTTTTTAACTGATGGAAGAAAATAATTCAAATTAAACATGGTAATTCCA